ATTCTATGAAGCCTATGTTTAAAAACAACGGATCGAATTATTTCGAGTCAGAACTTTTTTTAAACGATGTAAACAAATTTTCCCTACACCAATTTTTTGTGGCCGTAAGTTTGAAAAAGAGGCCAAAATGGTCGTTACCGTAAAGAGAAGCATTTAAAAATTTCATTTTTTACGGTTTCTGGTGCCTAGACGTAGATTTTTTCATTTTTTTACGATAAAGTATCTAAATATTTGAGGTGTTGAGCACCTTGTCTAATACTTTAAAAAGGAAAAAGAAATTTTGTTTTCAAATACGGAATAATTTATTTGTAAAGCCTACTTTTAACACTTTTGAATTGCGTACCACAAATGATTTAATTTGACCAAGTGATTAATTTTCAGACACTTGGAATCAATTGTTTCGTATTCCAGAGTGTACAAGAACACTATCAATTTTTATTTGGCTATTTGTAGTATCGTCGCGAATACAGAGCGTTTTTCCCAGTAAAATAAGCGGTCATTGGCGTAACACCTCTAATCTCGGAGGAATTTGAAATCATCGATTAGATGACTATAATAAACCAAGGGGTATATGTGACATAGGGTGTGTATGTGACAAACAAAATTTTGTTGAAAAATTTCACCTTGGGGCTTCACAATCGCAAAAAAAAAAAAAATTTTAAAAGGGAGATAGCGATTAGTGTCGAATTGAAGGTTCGATCACATCAAATTGAACCTGAGATTTTATAAAATGTACCGAAGTTAGTTGTAAGATTAGATGTCAAACTAACCTTTGGCATGCATCGCGCGCCCTTCGAGGCTAGTTTTTAAAAAAATGCAATTAAATTAACATGGATTTTTTATAAATGATCGCAGAGTCGGGCCTAAAAGTTTTTAACTAGTTTCGACATTACGTAACTTGGAAAAAGCAGTTAAAAAATTCTGAAAATTTAATTTAAAAAATCTCAATTAGAGCGTGAAAATATCACAGCTTTTGTGAAATAACCTATATATTGGGATCTTAAAATGTCGCGTGACTTTCGCAGTATATATAGTAGGGGTAAATTAACACATTGTTATAAGCAGCCTTTTGGGGGGTAGGCGGCTATAAACAGAGCGAGAGAGTTGAGGAAGGCTGGAGTCGTCTTCGAGGATATCGATCAGCAGTCGAGAACAAGCAGCAATAAGCACCCTGTGCTAGAGACTCTATGCATGGAAGGTGGTGCACATCGCCCCACGTCGAGCGCCAAGTTGTTATGATCGGCCTTTTGGGGGTATACGGCTTAGAACAGCGAAGGAGAGTCAGAGTGGGTGATAATTCTCTCCAAAGGTATCGGATGGGCCGTGGAGATGAATCCACGGAGAGAACCCTGGATTGGAGACTCTAGGCTTAGTAAGGTAGTGCTTCCACTGGATTCCAATACCGCTGCTGAAGTTGGTGTCGCTGATGGTTAGTTGAGCAGTGACTCACAGTGGTCAAAACGAATCCGTAGTCATAGGATGCGATTACTAGCGCAAAAGAGATTTGAGTGTTTGTCCGATTCTCTAAATAGTTGGTCAACAGTGCCACGTAGTGCAGATAATGATGGCGAGAGTGGGTAGAATAAGAGTCAAAGCACTAGGTTAAACGTGGTATTAAACGTAGGTATTTTATTCAAATTAATTGGTACTCTAGCTACTGTCGCACCGTAGGTCTCGGTGAGCGAAAACCTGGTATTGGTATGGATCGGGTGATCCGGGTGGATCATTACAAGACGTCACGCAACCCTTCTTAAATACTATAAACTACCTTTTTACTTACGATATTTGGTAGAAACTAGTAGTTGCCACTTAGCGGGCGGTAGGTGGTACTATCAGGCGGAAAGTTTTGAAATCGGAGCTGCGCGCGACATTTAAAAATCAAATTTATGTAAAACGATCGAATTTAAAGAAAAATAGTTATTTTAATATATAATAATTATTAAAATAATATCAAGCATGGAATTTTTCTTTATTTTTTATAAATTAACACTTCTTCAGCACTCTCGAGAACATATTCACACCTTACTGAGTTTTGTAGCCACTTAGGTAATGGACAATTGTACTGTTTCTTTTAGAAACATAATGTTTAAAAACCTAACATGCTCCTACTATTTATAAGATTCGAGTCTCTTTATTTCTCTTGTAATCTCTCGAAATTGCTTGCATTTCACTTTTAATGTCTTTTTTTTTATTACGTCCTACGAAACTATTGATTTCTCTGTAGGTTTATCTCTGTATCAACCTTTTGAACTGTATTATTTATCAACAAAGACTCGCAATAAAGTCAATTCACGACTATTAACGCAGAGGAAATTTTAAAAAAATTCAAGAAAAGTCTATCTTAAATTAAATATTCAGCAAAAGTGTGAAAAATTTTAAAAGTTATTAGTCCAGATGGTAGCACCACTTTTTTAATGCTAGTTTTTTCCTCTTTATGTTGACGTATCGCTATTGCATAACTTGTACTGAAACAATAGAAAATTTGTGTAACTCGTTATAGATGTGTTCCATGTCCTACGTGTTTAAATGCACTGGTTAATTGAAAAAAAAGGTTGTCAAGGAGCGTCTCATTGAGTGTAAGGCGCGTCTCAACGAATCGAAAAACCGTTGTTTCGTAGGCATACGTTTCTGGTGAACATTGGTTTGTACAGGGTCATTTAAATGTTTGTCAACGACCAATACAATCACAGTAAAAGGCAAAAGCACGGAGTGAGGAGAGTAAAAGTACTATCATAGGTAGTAGCCATGGAGACGTGGCGTAAGCTCGCAAAAACTAAAAACGTTTACCCTTTGTTTTCAATAATTTTTTCCTGCCACTGTTTTATGAACACTGACTCCATAAGCATCGCTATATGACCAGTTTTTTCACAAAGCTTAAAGGCTTAGATAACATTACAAAAAGATATTTTTTTGCCCTTGGGTGGTTTTGGGAGGCTGGTACTTCCTCGGACAAAAAAGCAGTTTTCCGATACTTTTTCGAAAAGTCTCCTTTACGAACTTCGTTACGGACCTCACCTTCGGTTTGGACCGTAAACCTCTCGGTTCGCAAACAAAGACTTTTCAAACTCGTAGGGAAACTACTATTATCTTTTTGGTGTGCGCAAAAACAATATTAGTAGCAAAACCCGAGAACATAAAATTTCGTATGTTTTTTTGTGCACAATTTAAAGAGAAGAAAAGGAAAAGAAAAAGAGAATTGGAGCAAGCTTTTCAAGCCAACCGCCATATTTCCTGAGGACCTTCTGGGATACTTACTCCAACGTCTGTTCATTCCCATCTACGGAGACAGCTCTAATGTCAAATTGCTGCCAGCCCCAGCTCGTTGCACCACCCAGCACAATCGTCGACAGCCTAAGTCTGTGCCTGAGCCTGTGATCGATTTCAACGTTAAACCATAACCAGCTCCAGCTCATTCTGTTGCTCAGTGTTGTCATCGATTGTCTGAGTCTGTACCATCCGCAACTCTCCCTGCCACCCAACACCGTAGCTGAACGCCTGAGCGAACTTTCAATCATGACACAGACTCTGGTGCTGATTCTTCACCACTTTCAGACTGTTTTGCTGCTCAGCGCCAGGTTTGAGCGTCTGACTTTTCTAGTCACGTCTTTCAAAATAGAATACATTCCATGAGTTTACAAATAGAAGAAATCAAGAAGAGCTGTTTTCTTTGTCAGATGACAAACGATTCATTGAGACTGATTCTACGTAAGATGATCGTCAATCTCTTATAACTCTAGGGAAAATTCCGAATAACATATTTNATAAATAGTGTTATAAAAAACTTTTTTTCTATACGTAGAAACAAATACATTTTCAATACTAATTCTATCGTGGTGGAGCGGCTGTATACGTCCGTGACTCGCTGCAGAGTAGGATTGTTGGTGCATCATCATCGAGACCAATTTTCTTATGCGTCGTCGTGTACAGCCCTCCAAAGGCTGGCTACTGGGAGGACGTGGAGGAGGCCATCGCGGCATGCAACCAGGGTTACGATCGGCTCATCGTCATGGGTGACTGTAACATCGAGTGTAACTGCTCGTGTACGAGTTCGAACCTGCTTAAGCAGTCACTGCAGACATTGGAGATAGAAAGAGTACCCTACGGTCCTACACACCACAGCAGGGCGTCCGAGTCCACAATTGACTATATATGTCTTAGCAAGAGCTGCCCCATACTCTCTCACACGTAGACATAGCTTCTTTGGATTTCTAAACACGATGCACTTGTGGTGGAGTTAGAGTATGAAATGCCTTCTAACCAAACGAGGTACGTGAGGCGCCGCTCATACGGAAGTTTGGATGTGGATGTTTTGGTGCGGGAGCTGCTAGAGGAGGACTGGAGCTGTCTTGAGGGACCTTCCAGTGTGCATCAGATGGTGGAAGGCTTCATGGCGGTGCTGCAGAGGGCACTTGATCGGCATGCCCCCGTCCGAGACATCAGGATCACTGCTGATCCCAAGCCGTGGATAACGCCCCGAATCAGGTCACTGATCAGGGCCCGTAACCAGGCTTGGCGAGATCATAGGCTGCGCCGCTCTGACGATTTCCGAACCAGGTATAATCATCTGCGAAACAGGGTCAAGATGGAGATCAGAGATGCGGTGAGGGCGTACCACCGACGCCACTTTCGGGAGTGTCGGAGCGCGGCAGAGAAGTGGCGGGTGATAAACTCACTCGGATTTACAAGGCAAAAGAGTATGCAACACCATTTGCCCATTGACCCGACGGAGCTGAATAAACACTTCATTGGACCGGGGGGGGGGGGGCGGGGGCTGGATCACTCCCATGTCTGCAGCTAGCGAGGATCGCGCCAGACGACCGGTTTTATTTCCGACATGTAAGGCCTGAGAACGTGATTAATGCATGTCGGGTGGCTAGATCTAACACCTGTAGACCGGACGGTGTGCCGGTCAGCTTTTTAAGGCAAAGTCTCCCGGCGATCTTGCCCATTCTAATACGGATTTTTGATGTGTCCTTCCACGGAGGCAAGTTTCCGGAATCATGGTGGTCGTGCCCGTGCCAAAGAAGACGCCTGCCATCGTCCCCGCCGATTGTCGTCCGATTAGTTTGTTGTGCGCGGCGGCGAAACTTTTTGAATACGTTGCACTGCGCCAGATAATGGAGTACATAGAGCATCACCAGATCTTGGATAAATTTCAGTCGGGCTACAGAGGGTCACACATCACGCACACTGCTCTGCTCAGGATTCTGGATGACACGAAAATAGCAATGAAGAGAGAGGACATGTAACGCTGCTGATAGTGATAGATCTGTCGCATGCGTTTGCCCTGGTCAACACCCAGCTTCTGGTCAGCAAGCTAGTCAGTCTGGGCTTCTCTGACTCGGCGGCATCCTGGATTGCGTCTTATCTGTCGGGTCGCACTCAGGTGGTGCGGGCTCCTGATGGCGCGCTGTCGCGGGCTCTTTTTAGGGAGTCCCGGATCCCACAGGGCAGTCTGCTTGGGCCTTTGCTCTTCTTGTTGTAGGTGAATGACATGTCGGGTGCCTTCCATGGCTGCGACTACCACTCGTACGCGGATGACACCTGTTTTCAGCTGCACGGCGAGGTGGGATACGCTCCGCTATTAATAAATAGAGCAAACAACAAGAGATACTAAGCAGGGTGTCAAAATAGGTAAGGCTCAATGGACTCCAGATCAAGGAGTTTAAAATCCGAGCAATGTGGTTGGGCACCCGAGGCCTAGAGCGACGATTGAACGGAATGGGACCTCTTCCCATAATCGAGATCAACGGCACTGTCATAGCGCCAACTGCATCCCTCAGACTGCTTGGAGTGGAATTTGACGGTACACTGACCTGGCGGCCACACTGCATGGAAGTCTCCAGGAAATGCTACTCCGGCTTGGCGCGACTCCGGCGTCTCGGCGAGGGTATGCCGCGAGATACTCGCCGCATGCTGGTGCGCTCCCTTGTCTTTGCGCACATCGATTACTGTGCTGCGGTGCTCTACGAGCTCTCCGGTGAGATGATGGCAAGGATGGGAAGGTGTGTCAACGCGGCGCTGAGATTTGTGGACGGATTACAAAAGTCCGACCATATCACACCGTCTTACCGGAGGTACAGCGTGCTTACCTACCTCAGCAGACAGCTCTACATCATGCTGAGCCTTGTCGCAAATATTTTAAGGACGGGTACACCTGAGAACCTAGCTGAGCGAGTCAGATTCAGGGACGAGGATCCACGGGCAATCGGCACAAGGAGGGTCGGTACTTATGAGCTGGAGGTGCCACGAGCCCGCCTCGACGTGTTTGGCTCGTCGTACATGGTGGGTGCAGCGGTGGAGTGGAACAGACTGCTTGCATCGACGAGAGCTGCCTACGCCACTACTAGTTTCAGAAGCAAACTTTTAAAAGTACTAAAAGTGAGAGACATTAGACTGGAAAATTAATGTGTTTTTAGTAAAAGTGTGTGCATATAGTGGTTTTATACATATACATGTATTTTTACATTTCATTTTTTATATTCTTTACTAAAATTAATTTATTTTAAAATTTTTATTCTTTGAAAGATGGTTACTCTCAACAAAATATTTTATTTTTTAAACTATGGTGAGTCTCTGATATAGTTGAAAAATATGTAATTTCGTCGTGGCTACCATGGACTACTTGTCTTTAGCCTAAAAAACTTCTGACTTCTATTAAATAATTTGGTAAGTTGATACTACTTGTTGGCAAGGCCATTTTGTAATTTCATTATAAAATACATTTTTAGGATATAAGTATAATTCTTACATTTTAAAACTCCCAAGAAA